TCGAGCTGTGCTTGGCAGCGATTGGAGCTGCGTTCGAGCTGTGCTTGGCAGCGATTGGAGCTGCGTTCTAGCTGTTGATTGTTGTAGTATTTAGATTTCTCTGTCTTTATATATGGATGACACCAAAGACCAGTAAAGAAGGTCTTATTCAAGCCATTTGTGACAATTGAGGCATCTCAATAACGCTCTGTCAACTGCAGGTCATGATCTCCACTGAGTGTGTCGAATATCATTACACTGCTCATCAGCACCTCTAATGGTTGCCAATATAATATTAGTCATGTTGTCGCAGCCATCAAGATCAATCATCTCACATAAGAAGCTGCATTCGTGTTTATAGCTGTTGAAGCGGCGTAGGTGATTGAATCGGTGTAGTGTCTTGATGATGGTACGCGGGGAGGACTTCCACGTCTTGGTTTGAAGAGATCGTCGATTTGTAATCCTTTCTGTCAGAGTATTGCTAAAGACTGTCATTTTGTAATCTTTGCTTTAACTCTTTGACATGTAAAAATCTTCGAATTGTAGCCTTCTGGAAGTCGTCAGATTGTAACTTCCATCATCAGTGTTTGATGGCGACTCAGCTATCCATTGTGATTTTTAGACAGCCTACAGAGAGCTCACAGAACTAACATCATAGCTCACAAAACTAACATGAGAGCTCACAAAACTAACATGAGAGCTCACAGAACTAAAATTATTTTACACAGATGTAGTTCGAATCTAAAAAAACTCAAAAGACCAAAGTTGTAGGTCTCTTCAACAGTTTTTCAACGCATCTCAAATCACCTCATTCCGAGATCGGAGAAGAAAGCTATAACCAAAATACAGATCATATTAATAATTTGAATCCGTAATTTGAATATATCATGATAAATGATAATAAATATGTGAGGTAAATTTGAATATATCATGATAAATGATAATAACTATGTGATATGATTATAAATAACATTTATCGTTGTTTGAGTATGCTAAGAATTGATTTGTGATCAATTTAATATATATATGTGCCTGATTCTAAAAAAACTCAAAAAGACCAAAGTTGTAGGTCTCTTCAACAGCTTTCCAACGCATCTCAAATCACCTAATTCCGAGATCGGATGGAGAAATTACAGCGAAAACAACATTGTAAACATACATAGGAAAACATCAGAACTAACATCAGAGTTCACAGAACTAACATGGGAGCTCACAGAACTAACATCATAGCTCACAGAACTAAAATTATTTTACACAGATTTAGTCCGAATCTGAAAAAGCTCTAAAGACCAAAAGTTGTAGGTCTCTTCAACAGCTTTTTAACGCATCTCAAGTCAACTCATTCCGAGATCGGATGAGAAAATTATAACCAAAATACAGATCATATGAATAATTACAGAGGTTCTAATAGGTATCAAAAACTATAACTGTTTGATTCAATTACAGAGGTTCTTTACTCCTTAGACGAGGGTATGAGCACAAAAACAAACAAACATAATAATCTCACTTATCATCAATAGTTGACTTTCCCTTCCTTCATAGAAAAGGAGTTAACCATTCAAAACGAAGCTGAAGAAGCCTTCAACTCCTCTAACATCTTCTTCAACTGGTTGATTCAATGTCACATTTCCAAATTCAATGCTCGAGTATTTCTTGTACACTGCTCTCAATTTACTCTTAGGTGCATCTGAGTGAGACTTAAGCAAAATTTCAGAGAAATCCCTGCACAATGCAGCAAAATTGTATTAAGAAAAATTTGCAGGACATAATTTGGACTTATACAAGTTAAGAAAAATTTGTAGGACGTAATTTGGACTCAGAGTACTTTATCAGACCTAACTTAGGAAAAATTACAACATCCTCGATTAGTACTATATCAGACCCAACACGACGTGTTAGTATCAGACCCAACACGGCGTGTTAGTTCTAATATGCGGCACGTTAGTTCTAACACACCCCGTGTTAGTTTTAGTTTTAACGCCTTCTCGCTCACTTCCCCATCCTTGATCGCTCCAGAAATTCTGAAGGGAGGGGGAAGGCTGAACTCAAGGGAGGGGGAAGGCTGAACTCGAAGGTCGGGTGAGGAGGAGGTGACAGTGAACACGAGGGCGAAGCAGAGAGCGGCAACGACGAACTCCGACGTAGTCGAGGGTGAGGCGGGGAGTGGCGGCAAGCTATGGCGATGAGGTTGGGCGGAGGAGAGGAGGGGAGGCGGCGTCGACCCCGAGGGGAGGCTTGGGGGCCTGGGTGGAGGCGGCGACAACGAGGAGGGCGAGGTCCAGGGCGACGAGCTTGAGAAAGCCCTTAGTTTTAGAGAGATATAGGGGAGAGAGAGAGAGAGGAGATGAGAGAGAATATGAGTGCTGGGTCTGAGGGATTGAGGGGAGTGGATAAGGATATTTTGGGGATTTAAGCTTAGCTGACATGTAATAATTGTTTAAAAGGGGCTGCAGCACAAAATGTCACACTTCAAGTGGCTGAACCACATGGGGAAACTAGAAGGGGCTGCAGCACATGAAGTTTCTGTTTTTGGGGCCCCGACACATTTTTCCCAAAAACGTATTGAGAATTAATTTGAATAATAGGCATGCTTGCAATTTTGTTGCTGTCTAAGTAAGGGAATGCTGCCTCGCTTACTCCAATAATTTAAATTGTGAACCAATACTTATGTTGAGAAAAGAATTGTATTGCACTTCCAATAACGACATGGTAACATTTCCTACCCGTTAACTCGTCTTCTATCCTTCAGCTTACAAATTTACTCCTGGTCAAAAGGTAAATCCCTGGAACGCAACGAGTCATAGAACTTGGTATATCTTTTCATGGATCCGCGTGCGAGATATCCAGGCCTACTTAGATGAACAATGATTTGGATCTTGATAATTATGATAGGGTTATACACTTGAGTAAAAGCAAAAGTAGTCAAATTGAACAATGATTTGGATCTTGATAATTATGATAGGGTTATACACTTGAGTAAAAGCAAAAGTAGTCAAAAATCAAGTAGGTAAATGAAGCTGATTTTTAGATAGGGTTATACACTTGAGTAAAAGCAAAAGTAGTCAAAAATCAAGTAGGTAAATGAAGCTGATTTTTAATCAGTAAAATAAACAAACACTACATCTAGATCTATTCTTCAGAAAGATTCATTTTTCTTCTTTCCGTCTTTATTTAGCTTCTGAAGCAATTATATCTATCTTTGCTAGAATTAGACAAGCCTTCCTCATGTCAGATTGGAATTTAAACATTGACATGCACACATCAGGCAACTGGTACTTTGCTATTTCCATAGCCAAAAATGGGGCTGGGAACCCTATTTTATAGTTGTAAGTTGGTGTGAGTTCGAAATAACTGTTAAACACAGGCATGTAACATCTCCAGGTTGGAGAATCTCTTAGAGAAGTAAATGGAATTTGTTGCTCATGCCTTTCCACTTACAATCAGGTTGTTATTTAGAGAGCGTTTGGCTACCAGTGTGTTTATCCCGTTTTCGTTTTTTTTTCCAAAAAAAACGTATACCCACGTTTGGGAACTGAGGTGTTTTTTTGAGCTGCCCTTCACAAAACACAGAAAAAACACGCTTTTGTCACTTTTCTTAAATCTTGATTAATTAAACCTAAAATTGTCTGTGTCTGACAACCACTACAACAATGATTGAAGACTGCAGCTTCAGTGCACTCAAAGAATTAAGAAGTAGGGAAACTAAGAAGTAAAACATATCTATATCAACACATGGCATAATTAATCATGCATATACAGTTTCGTGACGAATTCTTGGATGCACAATTTGGTGGCTGGTCAAAATAAAGGCATATTATCAAGAATATTTCTATGTCTTATTACTCCACAGAAACAGTGGAAATGATAGACGTACCCTACTTCTCAATAGCTGTACTCACTTTGGATGCTTTGAGTTTGAGAGAGACAACACGAAATCACTTCTATTAGCAAATGGAGTGTTACTTAATTAGGAATCTGTTTGTGAGTTATACCTAATATTCTTTTGGAGATGCTTGGTATATTTGTTAGGATAATTCCATTCTTTTTTCTTTTTCTTCTAATTTTGTGGATAAACTATATTTTTTTACAGCTATCATCATTCGATCTGCAGGTCAAAATTAAAAACGAAAACGAGAATGTATTAGATTTGTTCCCCTTTTACCTTTCTGTTAACAAAAATAACCCAGAGCGGATTATGGATAACACTTTGGTATTGTTTTCTTTGGTAGTGTTTCTGTGAGACAACAAGTCAATAAATGTTATTCGCTAAAACTTTTTCGTGCATGCTCAGAAGAAACGTTGCTTTCAAGAGGCATGTTTTCAGAAACAAATTGACGATATTTTTAAATGTAGTTTATGTTTTTGGTAGTTTTTATGACATATCTATCCATTAGCTTTTGATAATGTTTTTTCTCTCTGTATATAAACTTGAAACTAAACTTAGGTTTGTTCTGATCATTTTCACTTATAATTATTTCTAGGCACATTATTACGAAACACAACTGTTTGTGGTAAATAGATTTTGCTAAACATTGCCAAACAGCTATTTTCAATAATTATATAAGTTACTATTATAACATGTTTATTATGTGCATTTAAAATGCCAACTTTTCCAGCCTCTGACTTAGGGCGGTCTGGAATTGTTCTTATAAGGATGTTTCTACTTATTTTGATAAGAAGTAGTTAATAATGATGTTTCTACTTATTCATGTTTCATCCTATGTTGATTCCACAATAAATACATGTTGATTCCACTTTTCATGTGGATAATTTTATTCTAGTTTCATCCTATGTTGTTGATTCCACTTTTTATTTCATTCAAATAAACTCTCTAACGACATAATTCATGTTTCATCCTATGTTGATTCCATAATAAATACATGTTGATTCCACTTTTCATGTGGATAATTTTATTCCAGTTTCATCCTATGTTGTTGATTCCACTTTTTATTTCATTCAAATAAACTCTCTAACGACATATCAATATTCTTTTTGGTTTGATGTTGTTGTGACTGTAATAGATGTCAAGTGAAAATCGTGATGTCAACGAAGTGGTGGAGATTTCCCCTTCTCAAGGAGTGGGGTTTTGGTCTGAAAATGTGGAGCTTTATTTCATAGACTTGATGGTGGAAGAAGTGAAAAAGGGAAATAGGCATACAACTACATTTACTAGATCATCTTGGAAATTCATGGAGCATGAGTTGAAAAAGAAGACGGGGAGAGAATACACTCATGACCAAATGAAAAATAAGTTTAACCAATTGAGACAAAGATGGAGAAATTTAAAAAGTCTATTGACAGATACGGCAGTTGGGTATACTGTGAGCACCGGTCAAATATCTGCAACGGAAGATGTGTGGACTAAGTTGTATGCGGTAATACTCATTGATTAATTCAATTTTTATTAGATTCCTTATGTGAGTTTGAATTCATTATTATTTTTTGTTTTACGTAGACGCACAAGTACGCAAGATATTTTAGAAGGAAGGGTTGCAAAGGTTATGACAAGTTGTGCATCATTTTTGGTGATACAACTGCTACTGGTGATCATGCTCATCCTTCTACTAAAAGTCCTACCATTAGTGAAGATGATAATGGAGAAGAAGGTGAAGATGAGGAAGATGTTGAGTCATCTCGAGCTAAGAAAAAGGCAAAAGTGGCAAACAAACGTGTACCATTGAACCAGCAAATCCAATTAGCAATGGTTGAAGCTTTAACCTCAATGGGAGAAAACTCTAGGAAGAAAATGGAGTTGAGGGAGAGGAAAATGAGTTCGACTACTGCAGATAGTATGGGAGAAAACTCTAGGAAGAAAATGGAGTTGAGGGAGAGGAAAATGAGTTCGACTACTGCAGATAGTCATGTTAGTGGAGGGAGAGGAAGAAACTCCGAGGAAGAACAAGGAATGGTTCAGTGCATCACTGCACTTAGTGCTCTTCCCGATGTTGACTCAACTCAGTTTTCCAAGGCCGCACATATTTTGCATGATGATGCATCATGGAGAACTATGTTTTTAGCCATGCCTAGCGAGAGAAAGAAGGATTGGGTGTTAAAGCTACCTTGATGTTGTTTATGTTTGTTTCGAAGAAATTTGTATTTGTTTATGTTTGTGTTTGTTTCTATTAGGCCAAGGACTTTGTATGAGTTTCGATATGTTTGATTCTAGTAGGTCGAGGACTTTTGTGTGTGTTTAAAATTATGCTTGTGTTCTAGTAGATTGAAGACTTTTGGGTGTATTTGTGTTAGTTTTTGAACCTATATATGTGTATTTCCACAACGTTGTTGGAGTTATACTTGTTTATGTTGTTGACTTGTGTTTCATGCCTTATGTAAATTTATTCATGCCTTATGTTGTTGACATGTGTATTTGTGTTAAATGTTATTATACTTTGTAGGTATGGATGGTAATACAGATACAGATGATTATCAAATATCATCACAATCTGATTCAGACTCAGATTCAGATGAGGAGCAATTTCAAGTGTTATTGACTATTCATGCATTTATGGAGATTAATGGATCTTTTATGGAGCAGCCTCGACCACAAAGGATTTCAAAATTAAGTGGGCATGATTGGGTGATTGAGGTTCTAGGTGGTCACCCGGGTACTTGTTTTGACCTCTTCCGAATGAAAAAAGAAGCATTTATTAACCTTTGTGAAGAGTTAAAGAGAATTGGAAAATTAAAACATTCTAGAAATGTGACGATTCAAGAACAAGTAGCAATCTTTTTATTTGTGCTTTCTCATAATGAACGCCAACGTATGGCCGGGGATCGTTTTCAGCACTCACTAGAGACCATCTCTACATATTTTAAGAAGGTCCTTTATGCAATTTGCTCTCTAACCAAATATGTCATCGTTCCTCCATCATACGATGCAACTCCACCAGAGATATCATATACCACAAAGTATTATCCTTATTTCAAGTTATGTATATATTCCTTCCTACATTAATTATGTGAATTTTTTTACTATCGTTCTAATAGTAATATATTACATGACAGAATTGTGTAGGGGCTATAGATGGAACACATGTTTCAGCTTGTGTGCCGCAAGATAGTCAAGTTCCATATCGTGGAAAGAAAATTGTGCCGACAATGAATATGATGTGTGCTTGCTCTTTTGATATGCGGTTCACATTTGTTATGAGTGGATGGGAAGAATTGTGTAGGGGCTATAGAAGGAACACATGTTTCAGCTTGTGTGCCGCAAGATAGTCAAGTTCCATATCGTGGAAAGAAAATTGTGCCAACAATGAATATGATGTGTGCTTGCTCTTTTGATATGCGGTTCACATTTGTTATGAGTGGATGGGAATGAAGTGCAAATGATTCAAGAATTTTCTTAGAGTGCATTAGCAATCCCGCAAACAAATTCTCTATGCCCCCTGCAAGAAAGTATTATTTGGTTGACTCTGGATATACCAATATGTCGGGTTTCTTTCACCGTACCGTGGAGAGCGATATCATTTGAATGATTATCGAGGGCAGAATCTTCCACCGCAAGGTACTAGAGAACTATTTAATTACTTGCATTCGTCATTAAGGAATGTTATAGAACGATGCTTTGGGGTATTGAAAAAAAGATTTCCAGTTTTAAGAGATATGCCATCATATAGTTTGAGAAAACAAAAATATATAGCATTAGCATGTTGCGTTATTCACAACGTGATTCGAATGCATGATTCTGGAGATCCATTATTTGTCGAGTTTGAAAATGAAGATGTGGAGCTTGAAGAAGATGATATGACTGCACAAGAACAACAAACCATACCGGTCAATGTCGGCCCAGAGCACCTTCGTGAGATGTCAAGGTTTCGAGATCGTTTGGCCCAACGGATGTGGAACGATCGTGGTGGGTAATATCGGGATGTGTTTTGAAATTAATGTATATTATATTGTAATGTCACTAAAATACATTTTGAGCCTAATGTATATATATTATCAATGTTATTAGAACATGTTGAACAATTATTCATCGTTGTTTCATGATGGTGGAGACGTATTAGAATTTTTTTAAAAAAAATTTGAATTATAGGCATTGAAAAAAGCTTTCGAATGGTGGTTGACCGCCACCACCCGTCGGCC